ATGAGCAGTTCTGGAATATCTGTGTGCAATAAAGCAAAAACAGAAAAGATCATTCTTTAATTTTATGGTCTACATTTTTTTTGTAGTGGGGATTGAATCTAGGGCCACTTAACCACTGAGCTACATCTTGAGCCCTTTTAATATTTTTCTTTAGAGGCAGGGTCTTACTGAGTTGCCTAGGGCCTTACTAAGTTGCTGGATCTGGCTATGAACTTGTGATCCTCCTGCTTCAGCCTCCTGAGCCACTGGGATTACAGGCATGCACCATTGTGTCAGGCTTATGATCTACATTTCTAACTAGAGCTCTCTTCAGTGGAAAAAGAATTTTGCTCTTCCAGTCATTTGTTTTGTACTAATAAATCACATCATTTTATACTGGTAAAGCTGACCCAGATTAAAGCTTGCTAATATATTTTCCTTCCCTCTCTCCTTCCTTCCTTCCCTTCCCTTCCCTTCCTTTCCTTCTTTTGTTTTTAATTGACTCCTGAAACTAATGTGAGTCTACACAACTTCTTGGTGATTTCCCACAGTCTCAAGGTAAAACCCATCTCTTCCTCTCCACAGCCCTTATTTTACATAAAAACATTTCTGCACAAAATTGGAAGGAAAATTTATCTTTCAGTATAGATTTTCAAGTTGACTAAAGATATATAAATTTATTCTTGAATGACAATCTCTGAATATTAAAAAAAATCTAATGGTAAACAGCTACTTTAAGAAACTGGTATGTAGAACTAAAAAAGAGGCTTTTGCTACACATTGGAAAACATCAAATTAAGAGAGATTAGATGTAGAATATCTTAATGTTACATGCTGAAAGAGAAATACATRAAAATTGATATAGGATAGTGTAAAAAAAATATAGCAGCGGGGTATGGTGGCACACACCTGTAATCCCAGCRGCTCAGGAAACCGAAGCAAGAGGATTGCAACTTCAAAGCCAGCCTCAGCAATTTAGTGAGGCTCTATGTAATTTAGCAAGACCCTGTCTCAAAATAAAAAGGGCTGGGGATGTGGTTCAATGGTTAAGTGTCCCTGGGTTCAATCCTCAGTACCAAAAAAAAAAAAAAAAGTTTACATCAACCTCCTGGCTCATACTTTCAACAGTCCTAAATTGACAGGACAAAGACACTGATAGGGAGATAATGAAAACATCACCACCCAACAATTTAACTTCCTCTTGCTTCTAGGTCCCTGTTCCCTTATCACTAAAGTCTTGATTTTCTGAGATCCTAATGTTATCACCTAACACCTTTGGGAGTAGTGCTTGAATTTCTGTCTCTCAAGTCTTGCTACTTCTGCCTAATTCCTAAAGTCATGACCTAAACTCTGGCTCCATCATTCGTCTCTTTTAGTTTCTCTAACCTTCTTACCTGAATGKAGACCTGGTTCTAGCTAAGGAGCTGAATTCACTGCAGCCCTCTCAAGCTGTGCATCTTCATTCTGTCCTGAGTGACYTCCCTCATAAATGGGAAGTAGGATCAGTCCCCTTTGCTCTCTAGGTATTCTTTCCCAGAATTATCCAGAATTAATGTATAAAAAATACCCATTGCTTTTTATAGTTCCCTTCTCACTAGTAGAAAAAAATTGCTACCTATTTAAGTTTTTTTTTTCTCTGAAGGAGGGCAGAATTTAGTGGATGYAAACTTATGCACTGCTTAATGTTGGGGATGCATTCTGAGAAATGTGTTAGGCAATTYTATCATTGTGTGAACACCATGAAGTGTACTTACACAAGCATATATGGATAGGTTAGTCACTTGATGTGGCATCAAGAGATTCAGTAAAAATGAGATGCATAAAACTGTTTCTCAAGCAACACAGCATAATGTTTTGCAGTAAACTTTAAGTATAAGGAGCATACTCTAAAATAACAATGAAAAGTATTTTATAGTAAATACATAATCCAGTAGCAGTCATTTATGATCATTATCAAATTTTAGCTTCTGTACATAATGGTATATGGCAAATGACTGGCAGTAGAATAGGTGTGTTCATACAAGCATCCCTATAAACACATGAGTCATGTGCTGAACCATGATGTTTGATGGCTACTACATCAGTAGGTAATAAATTTTCAGCTCCATTATAATCTTATGGGATCACCGTTGAATATACAGACTGCCATTAACCCAAACATTATAATGTGGTATGTGACTGTAAAATGAATATGTTCTGTGATACTGAATAGCTATTGGACGAGTAGTAGTTAAGCAAATGAGTTAGGAACATTGTGGTCAGAATGGAATTCTTCAGTGATTGATTGTGGAAGTAGGAGAGCTTAAAATGGCAAAAAGGTTATATAAAGTAGGAGAGATCACTGGAAATCAAGGGATTAAAGTATTGGTTGAGAGTGGCACAGGTTTAGATGTCTGCTAACATCATGTGTGGGAGAAAAGATATGAGTAAGTATGGATATAAGAAGATTTCCAGATACATAGGCAAGAATTTTAAGATCTGATGGCTCTTATTTATTTCTTTTTCAAGCAGAGGTCATTTGTAAAGAGAAAAAGAAACATGGACAGTTWGGAGGAAAGACATGAGACTTGAGATAATCATTATAAGAATGTTCCAGGGGTCCTTCATCRGGGGGAACTGTAAGAATGTTATGAAACAGCCAGAGTTGGACTGCGATTAGTGATCATTATATTGTAGGAAGTTCATCTGATTACTTCCTTGGAGTAAGTGGTTCTATATGTTAGAGAACTGTGAGATTCACCTGGAGTGCTTATTAAGCACAGATTGCTGGGCTCTAGGTCCCAGAGCATCTGACTGAGAAAGTCTGGAATGTGGCCCCAAACTACATTTCTAGTAAGTTCCCAGGTGATGCTGCTCATGGGGCCATGCTTTCAGGATCAGTGTTTTAAAGCTTTSTCCTTGTAATAATTCCAACCCACACTCTGGATTTGGTACATTTGTMTTTTTAAAAAAACACATCCTGAAAGCAATCAAGATTGAATTTACTGATACCTCATATCACTTTCCTGGTTTTCTAAACTCCTTTTAGATATTTTCAATAAACAGCCATCTAGCATCATTACAAATACAATACTTAGACATTTCCTTCATGCTTCATACAATTCCCACCCACCTCCATCTGCCACTATTCCTATCAAATGGAATGTTCTTTACACCTCTTTATAATAGCCTAAACATTATCCATGGCTCAAGGAGCCTCTTTATAAAGATTTCTTGATTTTGGTCCAAACTCTTGCCTTCCTTAATTGAACTATTAATGCATCAAGAGTTTTTGACACGTAATTGTGCTTCTTAATAATTTGTGACAAACCTTATTTATTTATATTAACCAATGGTAAGTGACTTGATGAAAGAAATACGGTCTTTAAACACTGTATATCTCCACAAAAGTRTTCAACACAGCACTATAAGAACTATAGGTACCCAGTGAATCTTGTTAATAGTACATAATTCTTAGTTTTCAATAAAGTTTATATAAGATGAATTACAGAATATTGTCAATTTTATATTCCTATATATGTCTACATATAGAAATATATATATACTATTCAGAGAGCAATATAAACTTTAAAAAGTTCTTGACATCTTAAAGCCAATGTGTAAAAAATGCTAGGTAGATAGGTCATACTATCTGCTTGTTTGTGTTACACGTGTATTTTGAGTTTTATTTTTAATAAAATAGCAGAAAACTAGTGGACCTTTTCTTTATATCAATACAAGGAAATGACTTTTCTTACTTTGGTTAACTTGAACCAAAAAGTATAAAATAAGGAGTCAGAAGCTTCTACCATGTAGAAATTTTATACTAATTGATTTATTTTCATGATAATACTAAAGTCAAATCAGAATTGCTTTCTACCTTACTTTCTGCTTTATTTTCTGAAAGCCATATCGTTCAAGATACAATGATAAATATACAATAATATATTGTAATTATAACCCTTCCCTTTATATGCCCACATTACTTCATTTTAGAGATTCAGTTTCATAGAATTCTAAAATATTTTGCCCAGAAAAATATTCTACATTTGAATTGTAATCTAATAAATATATATATTTATTAGATATGTTTGTATCTAATGTTAGTATTTTTTAAATGTTGATGGACCTTTATTTATTTATATGTGGTGCTAAGAATCAAGCTCAGTGCCTCACACATGCTAGGCAAGTACTCTGCCACTGAACCACAACCCCAGCCCCTGTATTTTTTGTGTATTACCCTCAAAATTAAGTACTGTTCTACGTTTATTGAGGGAACAACAACAAAATAATAAAGAATTTTCTTTTATTATTTGTTTTTTGTATCTCTGTATTGTTATCTCTGTATTACATCTCTATTATTTTTTAAAAATTGGAGTGCCAGAAAAGTATTTTTAACCTATGTCATGATGTGGTTCTTCTACTTTCTCCAGTTTCTTTGCCACATACCACTGGCAACCCTACCCAATAGCATGGCTCGATATTTGTGTAATACTGAATCTCTAGAGAACAACTGATAAATTTTCTTTAGAGATAAGCATAGGAAAGAATAATGAATCTGAAGTTTTGCAGAGGCAATCTCTTCACAAAAAGTACTCTACATACCAAATCTGATATCTCACAGGACTAAAAGTATAGAAAAATATTGACATGCTTCTTATTTTTCCTTCCAACTAAACACATAAGTCAAGATAATAACAATTAGTAATCAAAATGGAGGCCAATTGATAAGATGGAAAACAGAAAATCTCTATGCACACAAAAGTTGCCTTTATTCACAGCATTTCTCAATTCTGATTTACCTGATTATGTTTTTTTTTTTAAACAAAGCTACATACCTTTGAAAAAGAATGGAAACTTCTGGAAAAAGTTTGTATTCCATAAGTCATCAGGCTCATTTTCATAATTTTGTTCAACCAAGACCATATTAGGTAAAATTTCTTTATGTTTCATGAAAATATTTGGCAAAGCTTTAAAGAAGTCAATTTTAATGCTACTAAAAAAAAGGACAAGACAATCACATGGAACCAGTTATCACATACCAACTGCTGTCATGTAATCCCAGCGGTCAATGAGGCACATATTGAAGATGAGGTGATCAGATGTTTGCCCCTGGCCAATAAGTGAAATCTGCCTCTCCAAATTCTGGCATACTGATGAAGTCCAGCCAATGAGAAACCAGAATACTACCAAGAGTATTACTGCCAGCATCTTCATGACCCGGCCACCAGTCATGTATGGAATTCGTTGTGCTGTTCGTGAAAGAAACACCTTCAAAACCCTAGAAACACAGAAGATCAAACGTGAAAGTAAACCTAACAGAAAGTAAAACTCTAAAATAAAATATCTTATTTTTCTATCTAAAATTTAAAGCCACCAAAATTCAAGTGTACAAAGTTTAAACATGAGAAAAACCAGAAACACTTTGTTCATATTTTTATTTCATTTTAGTTTACCTTCCAATAGTTGAACAAATATATTCATTAGAAGCCACTGGGTCAACAAATTCATATCTGATGGAATTCTTTTGAACATGTCTTATTATTTCAAGAAAAATTCTGAAGACTTAGAAAAATCTGTAGAAAAACATTACCCAAATAACAGGGTTTCTGGAGGATCAAAAATAGTTCTGAAAGTAAGTAGTTGGCTTTTAAAATATTAAATTAAGTTAAATTCTTCCTTGAACCAATTATTTGTTTTCATAAAAGAGTATCATCAAAAGTATTTTCTGGACAAAATTCCACAGTCATTTTACCACATTACCAAAAATAATAATAAATAATTATAAAAACAATGAGGGATATTTAAGCACTAGGTTAATTGCATTAGATCATTACATTAATGAAGGAGATTGGGATGATATAAGAAATGTGATTTTTAAAAATTTGGAGTATTTTCTGTATATATGACTCAAACTGCCAGGGTTAAGAACTATTGGATTAAATGCTATGTTAGAATTGTTCCTCATTTAAATATTGTAGAAAGTCAAAATTCAACCTTATTATAGGAATCCTTTATCTTCATTCTTCACTTTCATCCATAGAATATTCTCAGCTGATTTTAACTCTTTACTACTAGTCTGACTTTTTTTTTCACAAAATTTTGGTTTAACTTAAATCAACATATAGGGATAGTCCATAAACTTATAAATCTAGGAAGATTTTACATTCAGATTTCTTCCAAAACAATTTTTAGATTCTTATTCCTATTTAAAGAACCCACACATCATGAATCCAATGTAACTACTACAACATAGTGTAGCAGATAATGCATTTTGGTGACTTAGGCTAAAAAGAGAACAACAAAAATCTAAATATCAGACCCATAGTCAAAGAAGAGGCCTTATTTCAAAAAGAGTGGTAAAGTATTACATAATGCCTTTTTGTTTAACCAACCTTATAAATTAATTGACCGAGTATTATTACTCTTAATTATTTTGGATAAGAAATCTTTCATTGTAATTAGCAGATCAAAAGAYTCAAAAGAACTCCACAAAAAATGGCAGAAATATTTTGGAAAATTAATATTTTTGCAAGTTCCAGTATTATTTCTGCAGGAGAAACATGCTAYGCATGTTTCACTAGGCATGCATCACTGTGAACACATAATCATTTCTGGTTATAACTGGATGAGTTCTAAATTGGGAATGACTAAGGCTCTCAACAGAGAAAACCTGACCTATTTTTCTGGTCTTCTATATTTTATCTAGGGAAAAAATACTATTACAAATTCTAACTTTACTCTTAATTAGAATATCTACAGGATAATTATAATGAACAAATAGTAACAATCATGCATTAGCTACCTGGGCAACAAGGGAGGCATAAGATATGATTATTATCTTCTAAAAGCTTGCAATCTAACTCAAAATAAGTCTGAAATTGCTAATATTTGAAACAATATAAATAGTACATGTTGTATGTAGCTAGTAAGTCTACTACCCTAATACAACATGTGGTATTTCATCTGAACCTTGATAGACATCAATGCATAGAAATGGGAGAAAATAAACAAGGTAGGAGGTATTCTGGTTGAAGGGAATCACAAAGTATAAGCAGAAAAATACAAGTTATCTTTGAGGATGGTGGGTAGAACTGCTTGGAAGGAAGAGTTTGATCCCTGATATCCAGGAACTCCTAGGGAGTTTTAAGTTATACAAGGAATTTTTATAAGGTTGAAAAACCACTGCCTTAGAGAAAAGTAGTTATTATCTACATTTTATTTCCATGGCAAAATGTAGAAAATAAATCATTTTCTGACACTTGAAGATTTTTATAATCCTCACTGAAACACTAAAACTCAGTTAATAGTGAGTTCATTAAATAACTATTTCCTTAATCAAATGAACTTTGATTGCAGAGTGAATCTATAAGATCTAATTTTGGTAATCTTTTAATCAAGAAATTCTACTTCTAAATTATCAGAAATGTTGATGTTTCCCACATGACCCTTTGGGTATTTATTGTACATCCTGAGAATTCAAGATTGCCATAGATCCTATAATCTCATCTCCAGAGATGTAAAAGCAAAAACTAAGACCAAGCCCTCATGATTGATTTTACTGGCTCTCAAATAATAGGAAGTATTATACAAGTATGTATTTAAACCTATGTATTTCAGTATATTGGTTTTTGTAACATGGGATAAGATGCACTTTTCTAGCACTACCTTAAAGTAAAATGAGAACCTTYGGCTATACCTTTAAAATACATGAGCACTTGTTAGTTTATACAAGCTCACTCCTAGAATCCAAATTCTAAAAAAAGAATACTTAGACATGTGTTTTTATGAAATCCAGCTGTAAAAAGAAATACAGTCATTAAACTTCCAATGTAGATGACCTTTCCACTATTTTTTCAAAGGTAAATCTTTAGGAAACCATCTGTTCAGAAGACTTACTATTTCTGAAGAAGCATATATGAGAAAACTGCTAGATATTTCCAGAATTTATTATGAAGACATATTTAAAGTATAATTTTAGCCATCATTGTTAATAATAGATAAATGCATGGAAATAATGCTGAAATGATGAAGAAAAAGGGCAATTCAAGAATTGTCTATCACTATRCTTATCTGCCACTACTTTCTCACTTTTTACACCTTTCTGGTTTGAACTCATATGACTTCACTGTAAGGACTTGTACTAAGTTATTAATTAACTTATGCATATGCAGTTGGTACTGTTCACTCCTTATTTTATGTGATCTCTTTTCAGCTTTTGGCATGATTGAAGTGCACAGCTTCCTCTGTGTCACGTTATCTTGAATTTCTTCCTGTCAGCTCCTTTTTAGTTTCTATTGCAGATTCCTCTTCCTCAGACTTCCCTTTAAATGGCAGTGTTTTTCAAGGATCTCCTAAATGTCACAATTTCTATTCTCATTCTCTATGTCACTCCTAAACAACTCCATCTGTTACCACATTTCACTTGCCAACTATTTGTCAATAAGTCCCAAATCTATATCATCAGTTCAGACCAGTCTCCTTAGCCCAATATCTATATACTCAATGGTCTATTGGACATGAGCAGGTCCCCAAATAAAATCAGTTTTCCTTCTACTCTGCCCACTTTCAACCCATCTGGCTCTGTTACCCACCTTACCTAACTGCACAAAGTAAAAACCTAGGAATGAACTTTGATTTTTTTTCCTCACCTACATTCTAGAAATAAAATGAATCATCAATAAATTAATTTATATGTCTTAATTATCTTTCAAATTCTATTTCTTCCATCCTCACTGTCACTATATAAATCCTATCCTATTTTTACTATGGTACCAATTGCATATGAATAAGTTAATTAATAATCTAAGTACAAGTCCTTACAGTGAAGTCATATGATTTCAAACCAGAAATGCGTAAGAAGTGAGAAAGCAGTAGCAGATAAGTATAGTGATAGACAATTCTTGAATTGCCCTTACTGGTTTTGCCTACCCACCTTTAGTCCATATTCTATGCTGAAGCTACATGATCCTTCCATATTGTACTCTGATCATGTTGCTCCCATATTTACAATTCTTCCATGTGTATTAACCCAAATCGTTGGTGCCTCTGTCCTATGTAAAAGGCTTTTTAAAATATTTTTTTTAAAAATAAATGACAGTGGAATATAATATAATTCTTATTACATATATACATCACAATTTTTCATATTTCTCATTGTATACAAAGTATGTTGAAACCAATTTTTGTCTTCATACATGTACTTTGGATAATAATGCCCATCACATTCCACCATCCATGCTAACCCCCTTCCCCCTCCCTTCCCCTCCCACCCCTCTGCACTATCTACAGTTCGTTTAGTCCTCCCATGCTCCCCCTCCCTACCCCACTATAGCCAATTCCAAAAAACAAATGCCAAATGTTTTCTCTRATATAAGGAGACTGACTCATGTAAAAGGCTTTTAAATGTGGGTTCATATTCACCTTGGTAGCCTCATCTCTCACCAATTTCTCCTTCCCACAGTCCTTCAGATCCCTCTGGATTACATGTAGGCATTGTCTATCTGAATCTTTGCTCTCATCTTCCTCACTGCCGCTCTTCCAAACAATACAAACATAAAATACAGCTATCTCCTATTTATCCCTTCATATCTCAGTTTAAATGTTGTTTGTTCTAACCCATGGTTCCCAAATCAGTAGCACCAATATAATTTAGAAAATTGTTAGAAATGAGAATTCTATAGATTCAGAAAGTGGAGGGAGGATTAACCATCTATTTTAACAAACCCTCTAAGCAATTATGACAAAGGTTTAAGTTTAAGAATTGCTGCTGCAGACTATTTTTTACTAAAATAGGTATAGGTGCCTTTCCAATAGGCTGCTCTAGCCTGCTAGATAGTTTTTGAGTTTTCATTATGCTGACACCAGAACTTAAAGCTGCTAGTGAGTTTTCCACTTTTCGAAAATTTGCATTTGTTTGTAATTTTATAGCATCTCTTTTATTTATAAAAAGGAATGAATATATACATCTTTGAGTTATCCCATTTATTAATTTAATTGGAATAATCCTAACATTCTTTAGTTCTCCATTTGAGTCAAGTCCTATTTATCTTCCTACCTTCATAGAAACTCAATAAATTCTTGTTATAAAAGTTTTGAGGAGATGGATACCTATTGTGTATGTAAAGCCATCCAATTCTTGACAAAAAAAAGCMTGGAGAGTAAACTGTACAAAAAGAGTTTCAGGTTGCTGCCTGTCATTTTGTTTTCAATAGTGACAAGTTCCCCCATACATCAACCCTTTCATCAAATTTTCAAAATCTCATTTTCAGAAGTAAACTA